GAAAGGAAAACAAGGAAGAAGTTAGTTCGCGCAATGTGAAAATTGTAATAAAGTAAACAGGGGAGTGAGGGTAGGGAGAGACATGATGTAGTAATTTAGAAAAAATGTCTTGGAGCAAGCAAACATGACTAGAAATAAAGGAAAACGCATGTTATGACCAAATTGAGCAGAGATTTGCATAATAATGCGAATACAAATAAAGGGAAAACGGGGAAATGGGTGTACATGCAGTAATAAAAGGGAAACGGGAGCATGATATTCATGTAATAGCAAAAAAAATAAAAGACACGTTTATCAGAGAAGGCTAATTCATATAGACCAAGTTCACTTATAGTAAGAGCCTAAAACTATCCCCAGCAGAGTCGTCATGTTGTCGCGCCCCTTTTTCTAGCGAAACCGGGTTTCGACACATGGCAACTCTTTTAAGAAAGATGTTAAAAGAGAGAGTTGCTACCTAGCGGGTTTGAGGTGCGTTAGGGAACCTATTTGTAAACAACTCTGGTTTAACCAGTTTGCGTCACCAAAGATCAGGTAAGGGCTCAAATTACCTCGAAGAGAAGCTGTTAGGCACTCCTTGAGGTCCACAACTATGCGACTGAACTCGAATTATATGAATTAGTTAGACAAACAAAGACAAAGAAAGCAAGAAGTTTGGAAAAATTCATTGTTAAAAGACTTTGAATAAACACAAATAATTGATTTAAAGACAAGATGGAGGGTCCTAAGTTTTTTAGCATAAAGGATCACTCCGTGCAACATAAATAATACTTCGTAACTCCCTCGAGATGGGGTGTTACTTATATTATTCAGCGGGCACAGACTAACATCCCCTTCTACCCCATTACTATCTTTAAGTTTTTATCTAAGCGCATTAGTTGATTCTAAACCACGCCTTATGCATGCACTACCTGTCCCATGCCTATGGCCCAGGAAGCATTTGGACCTCTATTTTGGGTGGTTCTAGACTTAACTTAGGCTGCTCAAAATGATAAATCTAAGTGACATTCAAAAAACATGTAGGACTACACATAAGGGTAGCAAATGGCTCGAGTTGGCCTCCACATATAAGCAACAAATGCACGCAATCAGGTTTTACATGTTAAGCATGTGACAAGTTCCAGACTTAATACGAAATGGGGTTCTTAAATCCTATAGGCATGACTTCTATGTGATTCTGAATTTTAAACATACAGGCAGTGTTAATGTCTTAACACAATAAATTTGCATATTACAAGTATTACAAATCCTATAAGCATACTTTCCAATTTGTTTGCAAATAAAGCAGTGAGACAGTTTGATAGTTCAAATTACTAGTGTTTGTTTTTATCAACATACTTTCTAGGCGAGCAATAGAGTCCTATAGGCAAGATATCTAAGAATTGGCAATTGCAACTTGTTTTTATCCTTTCATTCATATAAGCATGCTTTCTAGGTGAGCAATAATAGTAACAACAGCTAATTTGATTATATTCCTATAGACATGATATCTACGCGAATATTATAAAGAGCGGGTATTTAGGACTCAATGTAATCATATAGGCATGATATCTAACATGAAGCAATTTGAACAAATAATTATTGTATTACAGTCTAGTAGGCAGTTAACTATGTGTGAAGATGAACATGTGCACAGGTGAGATTATTTGTGTCCTAGAAACATGTCATCTAACGAAACACATAGAAGCAAAGCATGTTGAACAAATTAAACATTCAAATCCTACATGCAAGATTTCTACCCTTTTTATGCAAATATTAGAATAGACCCATTTTTCTAATTTTACTAATACCCCAATTGTTATTACAGAATTATTACAGGCCTGATAATGAATAAAATAACAAAATGATAAAAATAAGTATAGTGGGCCTAAGACAGGCCCAAAGTGTACCCGGCCCAGCCAGGTCTTCAATTTCTTCTCCACACAGATTTCAACATATCCCAGAAACCACAAGAGAACTTGGATTATACCCAACAGCCATAGTTGATCAAAAGATCCAAAAACAGTTATTTACACAAGCTAGTGGGCTTATTCAGTAGGCATAGAGAGGGACAGAATTGAGTGATCAGGAAAGGTGGCCAAAGAACCTTAGGCCCTAGTGTGTCAGAGTTCACAAGGGTCTCAAAGTGGACCCCGAGCAGTGCTCACACTAGGGAGGTTAATAGGGAAGCTTTAGAGGGGTCTTGGCTTTCAGCCGGCCAAGAATTAGAGACTCAAAATACAGAAGCAACCAATGAAAATAGTAGTAAAGTAATAAGGTTTGGAAAAGTACATTTGCAAACATTACAAAGTGATCACATAATGAACATGTCAACACAGAGGGTGCATGAATTCAAGAAAACAAATTGATACTGCAAATTCTCACTTAACACATTGGGGCAGGGTGACATATTGATAAGAAACAAGGAGCCTAAAGCTTATGGGATTACCAAGTTAATAGGCAAGGAGCACTAGGCTAGTAAGACAAATAGTTGTCACTAATGCAACAAGTTCAAACCTAAAGGATCAAATTATGCTAAACTCAGGGATTAAACAGTACAACCTATACCAGCAAGGTAGATAGAATCATATATTATAGGGGAAAACAAGTCAGGAAAGACTGATCTAAGATAATTAGCTGTTAAGGGGTACAGAATTGGCAGGGTAAGAACATACTAGGTGAAAAACATAGTCATAGGAGCAAATTACAATTGGAGTGAAGGTTTTAACAGATTAGGGCATACTAATGACATAAATTAATTACTATAGAAATTCATAATCAGGCAGGAAACAGGATTAGGCCATACAACCAATGCAAACATGCAAATTGTCAATATATTAAGCCAAACATGCTTCAAACAGTCTAAATTGCCTAAGTTCAATACAAATACATTTTTAGGACCAATAGTTTAAGCGTGAGACAATGCTGGAGAAGTTCATGCTATAGGCAGAATTATACATGAAGGAAGTCAAGGAATTATATCAACTCATGCAATTTCAGAGAACATAGGTATGATAATTAGAACATAATGGAATAAACATCGCAAAGGTTGAGAACTAACTAATTATTGCTCAACAAACAAGAAAAGAACAACAATATAACCCAGAATCCCAGATGCGTCAAGTTCCCAAGGGTTATAAAGAACCCAGGGCAGTGCTCACACCTAAAGAAGGTCGGAAAGTAGGAAATTCGGTGACCTCGGCTTTTAGCCAGCCAAGAGCCAAAATAGAACAAGAGAATAAACGAACACAGAGTAAAAGCCTTAGTCTTTTAGTGGGAAATTTAGCAATTGAGGTCTTTTCTAGAAGGGAATGGGGGAGGGGTTTATATAATAGTAAAAATCAAACAGTAACGGAGTGATTTAAGCAATAAACAAGGAAAATGTATATACAAATAGGTCTGAAAAATCAATTTAGGAGGCTATAAACCCTAATTTTTTAGGGAAAGTAAATATCAACAGAATATACACAAAACAGTAGCATAGGACGAATATAGACAAAAATAATATTCAAAATCAAATATTTGAACCAATTTTGGTTTGATTTTGAAGAGATCTGTAAACCCTAGTTTTAGGGAAAGTAAATATCAAGAGAATATAAACAAAAATCGGACTCACGGTAGCATAGGATGAATATAGACAGAATAACACTCAAAAATCAGAAATTTGAACCATTTTTGGTTCGATTTCGGAGAGATCTGCTTGCCAGGTTTAGGCAAGCACTATAGGAGAATAGCCAGTACCAGAAAGGGGGTCGTATATGGCAAGAAACAGCCATTGAATCCCATATTTTGTGGGATTATGAGAAGATTTAGGGGGGGCGGCTAGGGTTTCTGAAGGAGGGAGAAGGGAGATAAGAGAATATTAGGGCGGCGGACGGGTGAAATAGGGTTAGGGTTAGGCGTATGGTTTGATTAAAGAGAGGGAAATAATGAGGGTCGTTGATCTTGAGAGATCAACGTCCAAGATTAAAAAGTGAGTCGAGCGGGTCGTGTGAAGTGGGTACCGACCGTGTTGGGATTACTGGGTTATTTGTGCTGGGATGGGATTATTGGGCTAAGGTTATTGGGGTTTTTGGGTCATTATTTGGTCCGCAAATGTGTTTAAAATGGGTTTTTATTTAAATATCCAATATTTATCAAAAAATAATTTATAAAAGTAATTAATAAAAGAAAAAAAAATTATTTATGCACTAAAATGATTGAAAATAATAACCTAACATTATAAAAATATAAAAAGTTATTTTGGCACAAGTAATGTAATTATACATGAATATAGGCTATTATTGCAAAACTATGTATTTAGTCTAAAAATGCAAATGCAATTATAGAAAAATAAAGTAAAATATTATAAAACATACATGTTGGTGTGAATAATAATTCTGAATGATTTAGTCATCCCAAAATAATTTAAAGGATAATTATTAGATATTTATATAATAAAAATATAGAAATAAATTAATTTAGAGCCATTAAAAAATTATGAAAAATGCTCGTATAGGTTTGTAAACTAAATAATGATGCAAACATGATATTTTGAGAGTATATATACTATTTGAGAAAATATGAGGGCAAAATTAGGTATCAACAACAGACCACCTGGTTCTCTATAGAGTTTAGTGAATCCTTATATTCCATCATTAGCATAATTTAATTTACTAATATTAATGGCTATAAAACATATTGGAACATTCAAAAGGTGTAAGTCCAACTTTGAAATAATACATTAAAAATAAATTATGAAAATTTTTAAGAAATATTTATAAATTACATCACAATAAATATATTTATATATTAAACGGAAAAGGGTTATATATGTCCCTCTACTATCGGATATTAGTTATTTATATCCTCCGTTATATTATTCGATTCTTCTTACCCTTGTCGTTAACCTTTTTAACAAACTTACCCGTCCCATTAACGGACTCTGTTTGTGCGGACACGTGGCACTTTTTTAGTAACCCATACCCTTTTTCTTTTCCCAACCCAAGATCCATATCTGAAAACATACTAAACCCATATACTACCAATAAGAAGCCATCTTCTTTTCTTCTCAAAAATTAGGGTTTAGACTCCATCTTTTTAGTAGGCCATACTTGGGTAATTGCTTAGTTATTTGTACGTTTCACAGTACATCTATACCTATATTTGTTCCTTAAGAAGAATTTCTCTAAAATAAAATAAATTTCTAGAGATAAGTTTGTAATTCGTTACTAATAATTTGATACTGATAACTTATCTTTGGATGTAGAATTTCCATGGAGGCGTTGAGGCATTCTACGTGAAGACCACCACTGGAGCTGGTGATTCTTTTGTTGGCGCCCTTCTAACTAAGATTGCCGATGACCAATCTGTTCTTGAGGTAATAACTAATCGGTAATACCTTTATAATTTCTTACCCCAAATTAAGCTCGTTTGTAAACAAATAATTGGGGTTAATTAACTTGTGTAAAAACTAAAAATGTAGGATGAAGCGAGGTTGAAGGAAGTACTAATGTTTGCCTGTGCATGTAGAGTCATCACAACAACCAAGAAAGGAGTAATCCCAACTCTGCCTACTGAATCTGAAGCCCGCATTTTGCTTAAGGAAGGAGCATAGAACGAAGAAGATGTAACCCTTTTAATTCTTTTTAATCGTGATATATTTCTCCCCTTCACGAGTTTTTATTTTCAATTAACCAATTAGGTAGTAGCAGCGTTTTATTTTTTACTTTCGAGGTTTGATTTAATGGTTTCATGCAATGATGAAAGACAATGCATTAAGGCACTTAATAAACTAGCTTTCTTCCTACTGATTTGTCGGTGGAATTTTTATTTTTACCCGTCATTTGGAGTTGCTTTCTTTTTCAAATTTTGCATTTCATCATTATCATGTAAGTTGAGAAGAAAGGAAGATGGCTTCTTATTATTTATATTTATATGGGTTTAGTATGGTTTTCGGGTATGGATCTTGGGTTGGAAAAAGAAAAATGGCCCGGGGTTCTAAAAATGTGCCACGTCTCCACAAACTGGGTTCGTTAATGGGAGGGGTAGATTTGTTAAAAAGGTTAACGGCAGGGGTAAGAAACGCCGAATAGTATAATGGAGGATATAAATAACTAATATCCGATAGTAAAGGGACGTATATAGCCATTTTTCGTATCTTAAATATATCTAAAATTTCTATAAATTTAATATCGGATTGGTTTGGTTTTGATTTGACTTTCTTTAGTTAAAATCAAATTAAATCAATTATAGCGGATTTTTTTTTCCAACACCAAACTATAATCAGGTTTTTTTCTCGATTTCCTTTGTACATCCCTCTCATCCTTTCTCTGTGGAACTTTTTTCCCTTATTCTCGATTTTAAATTTTCTAAAAACGTTGGTATATTTTCTTAATAAAATTAATTTTTCCTTCAGCTAAAAAGTGGTAGGACTTTAAAGATGAACATCTTTTAAGTGGGACCATCATCTGATGTCATTTTAACTTTCAAGCATGTGAACTCTGATTACTGAAATGTTTGCACATGAACAGATTGTATGCTAAGAGTAGAATTTTCCATTTAGGATGATTTATTAATTTTTCATGATGACCTAGAAAACATAATCAAGTCAAGTGAAAAAAGACAAATACAAAAATTAAATTTATCCCATTTTGGGTAATAGTGACTTGCAGATTGATATATTACCTTCCAATTAGAGGAAAATAATTCATGAACCCAATAAATGGTACCTTCTCTCTCTTTGTATGTGTCTAGTTTGTAAGCTTGTGAATGACATAACCTCAATAAGAGTATATGAATGAAATAATGTGGATAAGGCTCACTTGGGTTGGGTCATCAACTTTAATGCCCCTGTCACGACATGAATGAAAAGCAAGGGAAATGACATGTGATGTGAGGTGAAATGTGTTGTCCTGGTTGGATTATTTTGATTTGGTCTTCACACTTCCAAGAGAAAAATACAAAATAAAATTTTGACATTTTTATTTTCTTTGCCCACATCTGGGGTCACAAAATCATAAATTTATTTAAAGACGAGAAGAAGAGGATCTCCACTTCCTTCTTGGTTGGCATATTAGGCCACAACTGGTTACACTACTGTTTAATATGCATTTCTGTTTTGTTTATTCCAATACAATCATTTATTCATTGTTTTATGAAATAAAGACTATAAAGTAAAGACAAGTATAGAGAGAAACTGATATATTATTCGAATTCAAACTGATGTACATATTGAACTGAAATCTCTTCTATTTATAGAAGAAAGGAAGCTGCTCTGTAAGCTGCTACTACAAGCTGCTGTGTAAGCTGCTACTACAAGCTGCTGTGTAAGCTATTATAAGTTGCTGTGTAAGCTGCTACTACAAGCTGTTGTGTAAGCTGCTACAAGCTGCTGTGTAAGTTGCTGCTGTACCAGATATGGATAATCTTCTACTGAGAGCAATATTTATCCATAACGGAGTACTGAATGGATAAGCTTATTATATCCAGTATGGATAATCTTCTACCGGGGGTAATGTTTATCCATAA